ATCCTCTCTCTGTCTTTCTGGTGAGAACATGTGCCCTATAGCAAAAAAAAAAAAAAAAAAGAAAGAAAGAAAGAAAGAAAGAAAGAAAGAAAGAAAGAAAGAAAGAAAGAAAGAAAGAAAAATGAAGCAGTAATCACGAGATTCTTTTGTTTCATATTATTTTTTAAAAAGCTCTAAAGTATTTCTTTGCCCTCGAACTGCTCTCCTGATGACTCTTCAGGTCTAGGACATCAATCCAACAACAGAAAGCAGCTCCTCCAGCGCTCTGTACCACAACACTTGAAACAGTTGGACAAAGGTGGATACCCACCGAGCAGCAATTATTATGCTTCCCATCAATTTATTAAATGTCACAGTACTTTGAGAATCTCATGAGACATTTGACATGTCATTCAAGGAGTTCAAAACCTGTTCTAGTGGTGATGCTAATTTGGTTCCCGGTTATTTATCTTAATGAAATAGAAATGAGATATGTGACTAGGGCTTGTATAAAGTAGTTGTTTGACATTTGTGTCACACTTTAAAGGGCAGTATTTCCACAGTACTTACTTTTACACCAACTTCAATAATAACAGAATCACTAAATCATGAGTCTCAGAAAGCAGACAAGGCTGAAATCGTATTTACGTAACAGTTGTGAACTGTTTCTAAGTTTCTCATTTCTAGAAAGGTCACCGTAAACAGTTATTCTTGATTTCAGATTGCAAAAAATACCAGGATGTACTAGCTGAAAATTGAATTGCAAGCATATTAATATGTTTAACAAAATGTTTTTAATAGAGTAGTTATCTGATGAAGTAGAACATCTGAAAGAAGAGGAGAGGGAAGGAGGGGCAAAGAGAATTGAGGGGAGGAGAAGGAAAGAGACGAGGTCCAGGAATGAGAGAAATTAGAATGACAACTCTGTTACTCTATTTTTTAAACCAAAGTCTTCCCCCACTATTTTCCTCCCTATTAAAATTAAATTCTACCTTAGTATCTGGGTAGAATAATGGTATTTCTTTGATTTAATGTTGTATATTTGTAAGTAAGGTTTAGAACATTTTTTACATGCCATAGAGTATTGATTATACATAGACTCTCAGACTAATGGCTTGCTTTATGACAAACTCAACTTCTACCCAAATCCTTTATATTTTGGCAGTTTCACACACTTATCATTTTCAAAACAAAAGCAGAATAATAAAGACATGGAAATATAAAGTTATACATTCATAGTGATGGAGTAATATATGGAAGTTTCATTAAGTTTCTCTGTCACAGCACAGGAATAACTATCACACATCATATGCTATCTCAAATTTACATATAGAACATAAAGGCATATTTCTTATTTGCTAATTACTCAGGACATTACTCAGGGTTGAGTGAGATTCGATGAACGAAATTTTAGCTTTCATTTTTATGTCAATATTCTGGCAGTTGGTAGAATTAGTCACTAATGAAGTACCTCATAGATAGATTAGATTTTAGACCAAGCTCAAACATATGTCTTAAATTAGAAAGCTCTGTCTGTTACAGGTGACGTCTATGACAGAGGGAACACTGAAATAAGTTAGCATGCGCAGCTTAGAAAGAAATAAGACCTGAGGGCTGTCTGGCAGGGCAGCGGTTACATGCTGTGAAGAGGGAGCTGGATTCCACATGGCTCACTGCCTCGACCATGGCCTGAAACAACTTGTTGGGCACACACATATGCCCAGGGTCCTGGAGGGATGGAGAAATAGGGGGAAAAGGAGTGTGATATGACCAGGCTCCATCGGGATTGATTTCTGTCTCTCTACTGTTTATCTCACGTCTCTGCACATTCGTGCACAGAAGTGCCAACTGTGGCAAAAAAAAAAAAAGAAAAGAAAAAAAGAAAGAAGATCTGAAAAAACTCAGAACTGAAGATCTCATTGTCCTTAGTGATTATTCATGGAAACACTTTAGTTGTTGAGAGGATGTTCTGATATAACTAGTAGTTGTTTGCCTGCCAGTGCTTTAAACACAATGCTGCTTGTGTAACATCGCTTGACATTTTTACCTGAGTTTTTCTCATTGCACGACTTGCGTTACCTTCAAAAGTATGGCAAAGACAGAATGAGACTCCCTCTCTGCTTATGAGGAATCAAATAACAGGACAAATACACAATTACTGAATATATCATTAATAATATTATTTACCCTTTAGGAAAGATTTGGATGAACTCAAATAGCCAACCTATTTTTATATTCTCACCACTGTCTTTTGACTAGCCATGTTAGGAAGTAAATGCACAATGCAATTTTCTGTAAACCAATAACATATCAACTCTAGCACTTTTATAGCAAAGGAAGGCAGAATGAAGATGTCTTCACAGTCCATTAACAATGATTATCAATAT